CCCCCCTCAGCCCCCACCCCTCCTCACGCAGCAGCCTCCAGCAGCATGAAGCCAGAGAGAAGCAGACCAGCAACCTGAGGCAGGCTCAATGGTGGCCTCTAGCAGCCACAGGTGGAACTGCAGTTTCTGGACCCTTCAGGTGGAGCTGCAGGCATGCGGGCAGGGCTGGGAAATACAGACTGTGGCATGGGGTGTGTGATACCTGGCAGCCTGGCCTCATTGCTCCACACCTGCATTGCAGGTAAGTGGACTGAAGGCTCAAATTTACTTGCCCTCCAATAGAACTGACATCTGAAGATTCAGAACAATTTTTATTTTGGCCAGAGATGCCAGCCCTTCCCTAACAAAGTGGGAGGACTGATTTAAATATACCCTCGTGTGTTATGTTTCATTTACAGTGTGTGTGATTGTATCTGGGGCCCCACTCTGCCAGGTGCTGTACATGCACACACACACACACACACACCCCCCAGAGACCCTCCCTGCCCCAGCGAGCGTCCAAGGTAAGCAATGAACAGAGACTGCAGAGAGACAGCACTTACACTCCTGAAGGTTGAAGTCATTGGGTGCTTTGGCAGACCACAGTCTCATTGTGTTCACGGTGTTGTTCTTGTATCCTGGCACGGGGGTATCATAAGGCATGGCAAGAACTACCTGTAAGAGGAGAATACGTCACTTCCAATTAGCTACAGGATGTCCTCAGGGTACAAAACGGGCAAGAAAACAACCCAAACTCGTGTGTGTGCACGTACATTTATAAATAGTTTATACATAGTTTATAAGGGTTAATAAGTGATGAATAGACATAGTGTATTCTTATTCTTGTAGCAACAGCATCCAAGCAGCACGTGTTATAGATTGAAACTAGCACATCAGTAAAAGGTGCTATCGATGATCATAAGCAACCTGTTGACCTTTAGAACTGCTTAACCATTTTTTAAAACATCTATTAATTATTCATTCACGTGTTATAAATGTGCCTCAGTGGCCATTAAAACCAAAGCATCCTGCAGAATTCAATATAAAATTATATCTCTGCTATAGATGGGTAAAAACCCCCACTACAGAAAGGCTTTTGTTCTCTGTTTGTCTTCTGGTATTTGAGCCTTCAGAATTCGTATTTTCAAGCTTTTCCCCACTCCTGTGAGGATTAGACACTTACTGCTTTTTAAAATGAGAGCTAGGAGTCTCTCAGAACCACCTGACTCCAGGAGCTGGGGCTTTAATGAAAGCACCAAATTTCCTGAGCCTCGCAATCCAATGGAAAGAGTGGTCACGCTGACAGCCCAGGATGAGTTTGTGGGGCTGGCAATTACAACAAACAGCCTTTTACCTGCAGGCTTTGGGAGAAGGGGTCCAAGGAGGAGGGTCACGAAGCTTGAATGAGCTGTGTTACACCGTCAGACCCACGTGCTCCTTCCCAGGCAAGGCTGGTTTTATTCCCACTAGCTCCCAAGACGGAGGGGCAATGCTTAGCACTCGGGTGCCGCTGGGCATTTGTGAAAATCAATTTAGGTGCCTAACCGGGAGCCGAGTCCTTTTGAAAATCCAGCTCCGGATCTGGGAGCTGAGCACTCGAAAATCTGGTCCCAAGCTGCCAGGCCACCAGTTAATGTTTATTTCCACCCACACATCACATTCCCCTGCAACATATGCTGCTGTGTGACTCAGCCGCTGGGCCCTTCCTATTTACCAGCAGAGACCTAGCGCTCGCGCTGCTGCTCTGAGAACGAGCAGCATCAGCAGCCGGAACAGAAAGGCTCACTCCGAACTCACGTCGGTTAGTATATTAACCCTATCTTAGAGATGAGGAAACTGAGGCACAGAGAGATCAACTGACTAGCCCAGCCTCGCACAGGGAATTGTGGCAGACATACAGGTCTCCCTGTTCCCAGCCTTACCCCCCGGAGCATCTTCCCTCTTGTCTAGGGAGCACGCAGTAGAGGCCAGGCTCTGGTCCAGCAGGTGGTATGTAACTAGTATGGGAGGAAGACGCGCCTTCTCTCCTGTCGGGTGCCTCTCTGGGAAAGCACCCAGGACTAAATGCAATATGCACTGGTATCTGGCAACTTCTGGATTCAAAGACCAGATCTTAGAAATTCACACTTATTAAAACACCCGGAAATCAAACATTTCAAGCCAGGTGTGAAATTCTGGACCCACTGAAGTGGGTCCAGAATGACCCAGAATGACCCCAAACTGCCATTGACTTCAATGGGGCCAGGATTTTACCCCTGTTGTTTAGGTCACTTGGCTCCCCTAGCAATATTATGGTCTATCATTTTAAACACCGTCTGCTTCTCTCTTCATAGCACTACTCTCACTTCCATCAGTGCCACGCAGGGTTTAGGGCCCAAATGTGCTAGGCGCTGTACAAAACACAGGATAAAAGAACATATCCAGCAACTGCAAATAACGAGTAACTAATCTTCTCCACCCAAACCTTCCAGACTACCTAAAGTCACAGAGAAAATCCCATAAAAAATCTCACAAACACAGTCTTTGAGATATACATAGCCAGAAAAAAGGGTTGGAAGATTTGTCCCAAATTGAGGGAAGAAAAATAAACCACCCACCATGAGTCTAAATCCCCACCAACCTGCACTGGTGTAAATCCGGAGTGGCTCCACTGAAGTCTGTGTAAGTCAAGGGAGAATCGGGCCCTGAACAGTTTGATGCTACGTATGTTACTGCCACCAGCCTGATTTGTCTTGGCAAACGATCATCGTGTGAAACTGTAGGCAGTTTGGTTTAGAGTTGGCAAAGCCGGGAGTGGGGCTGGGATCACGTTTCTAACGAGAGACCCAGCTTCAAACTTAGTTCTGGACAGACCAGGGTCCCTCCCTGGTTGCATCTGGGCATGTCACTACCATTCCCAAAGTGAGTGGGGATCTTTATACCTGAGTATCGATCCACTTCACGCCCTCCGCAGTGTGCTCCACTCGGCCGTAGAAATGCACAGGAAGCATATACTCAGGGCGGGCTTTTTCCCAGGGGTTGCCATAGCGCAGCCAATCATCGGCTTCCTCCACCTAAAACATACCAGCAATAGACGGTTATTCTAGCCATGGCCGAACTAGGGCTCTGCTAAGAAGGAGATTCTTGTAATCGGCATTTAAAAACATTTAAAAAAAAACCCAAGCTTTAAAAAGAGACACGTGAACCTCCCTGAACCCCTAACCATTAATGGCCGGATCCCCCACTGGTGCAGATCGGTGCACTCCACTGACCGCATGGAGCTGTTCCATTCACACCAGCTGAGGATCTGGCCAGTAACTCTAGACAGCAGCATGGGCGTCCATGTTGGTTGTGCCTCCTTGATTCGTCTGCCCAATGGGCAGAGCTTAGAGTAAAAAGACGGGGCTCTGTCCGCCTGGTCACCCTGCGGACTCCACCAGCGATCTGAACGCCCGTCAAGCACTTCCTTTGCTCATGAACCATCAGCCGCAGTCAAGATTCTGCAGCGTGTTGCAGTGCTCACGCCAGCAAAGAATCCAGCCCTTTCTCCCATAACCGGGCTGGCTTTGCAGGGCTAGCATGAGTAAAAATGAACGACACAATCATTTGGGTCAGTAACGTAAGTTGCTGTCTGTCACAATACACAGAGGGACCGGCCCTGCACTGGCACGCTGGAGATCCGGGCTCCGTTCCCAGCTCTGCCCCAGATGCCATGTGTGACCTCAGACAAGGCACTTCATCTGCCTGGGCCTCAGTTCTCCACCCTCGGTCTATTCAGACTGCAAGCTCTGTGGGGCAGGGACGACCTCTCCCTACGTGTCTGCAGAGCACCACACAGAAGGGGCTCTGCTCTCCATTGGGCCGTTAGGCGCGACAATACCATCCACGATCGATCGTCAGAACAATCAAAGGGAACATTACAAACCGAATGCTGAACTGCCCCACCGACAGACCTGCCAGCCATCGAGAATCTTCTGATTAAATATGCCAAATTCGTATCGGATCCCGTAGCCATAGGCTGCCAGCCCCAGCGTCGCCATGGAGTCGAGGAAGCAAGCTGAAACATCAAAGCAAAAGATCCCTCTTAGGAGCAGGTTTGCAGAAACCCAGCGAGGAGACCCGGGCCCGTGTCCACATCTCAGCCCTGTGACTCACATGGGGCTACGGGCCCGAGACAACCCGCAGCTTTTCCTTTTTGGGACTTGGAATTTTTCAAAACTTGTGCACAACCAAAGGGCTGAGGAGTGTGTGTGTGGGGGGTGTTGTGAATTTCTAGCCTACTTTGGATTAGACTGTGCAACAGTCCCAAGGAGTAGCCGCCCTGACATCAGAGAGCACGGTGGCACTCTGAGGGTGTGTGTGCAGAATCTGACCCCCGTTGGGCTCCATTTGTGAGGGCAGGGGGGGCAGAGATTGATCCGTTCTCCAAGGAGCTTGTGCGGAGGGCGGGAACTGATGGATTCGTTGGGAGAATGGATGAGGTGTGTGTACACACGTGTGCACCTGGGTGGGGGAGGGATTGATGGATTTGGGGGAGCTGTTTTGGGGGAACCCACTTTGTATTTTTATGCCCCCCGTACACGATTGTTTCTTTGGTTCTTAGCCAAATACCCATAGGCAGGTCCGGCAGGGCCCCAGCTTCCCTCTGCCGCCTCTCACCACAAAGACGGGTGCTAGGGGCTATCTGAGCCCCGCCGTCTCCTTCCAAGGGGAAGCAGGGAGGTGGAACTGGAAGCAAGCCTAGGAGCTGGGGGGCATTTTCCCATGCTCCTGGTGGGGGCAGTGACCGGAGGCTTGGGCGTGATGCAGAAAGCGGATATCGATTCCAGACATGCCTCCCAGGGGCGCGCTGGGGCTAGCCAGCTACTCGTTATAAAGGGACACCAAGTGTGACTTTTACTAGCATCCACGGCACTAGTAAGTGTGTGTCAGGACTCTGTGGCTAACAACCAGCCCTAAGGTGGACGGGAGCACCAAGAGCTGGTCTTGACACAGGGCTGCAGGGTGCTGAACAGCGATGGGGACAGTCCCAGGGCAAAGAACAGTTCAACGGCCCTGTCTCAATGTGAGTTCAGCACAGCTGTGGCCAAAACGGACCCGAGCACGGCCTGGCGGGGGTCAAGCTGTTTTATAATCCAGTTAAAACCAAGTCCTCGTCCCGGCTCTCCCTGAGCTAACCCAGAGCTTTCAACTTCCCACGGCTGCTCCCGCAGCAACACTAGTGTGGACTGACCCCAGCACGTCAAGTAACCTCGCTGCAGCAGGCCGAGGTGACACACTAGCTAAAATGACGGCAGATGCTGGCACCTTGTCTACACTAGAACTGCACCCGTGTTAGCAAGGACGGCAAATTTGGGTGGGGAGGGGAGAAAGGCTAGTGTAGGCAAGGCCTTGGGCCTCCTCCAGTGCTAGCCCAGACTTGGGCAGCTGTGCCTAAACCACAGTCGTTAGATGCAGTTAATTGCCCTTTGTAGAGGGGGGCTAATCGGGGAGGGCAGGGGCCGGCACTGCCTTGCAGAGGGTATCAGGGGGACTACAAAGAACAGGGCGTTACCTGCCAGGCGACCCAGCCCTCCGTTACCCAGGCCAGCATCTTCTTCGATTTCTTCCAGCTCCTCCAAGTCCAGACCCAGCTGTTGAGAAAGCAGCAACTTCAGCGCCAGGGCATCACCCCCACAGAGCCCTGAGACATGCTTCCCTGCAGCCCTCCGAAGGGGAGAAAAACACCTCCAGGCGTCTCTCCCCCCCCGCCAGCTAATTCCTCTGACAAACAACCCTATCCCACTTCCAACCTCATTTTTATTAGGATCTGCAGGTTTCCTTAGCTACAGCAAACCACAAACGCTTCTTGGCTGGCAACCTCCAAAACTACAAAGACCTCTAATCCGGGAAGGGATGGCAATCAGCCAATCAATCACTGCTGGCTTATTTGCATAACGATTTGAGGATGCTCCTTCTTTCCAGGGTTAGTAACTGTACCTTGAGCCTCGAAGGATTCTGGGGTCCGGGGGTTTCTTAGCCCAGAATATGGTTAATGCCAAGGTCACAGGTTGACCTTGCAAGTTATTCCTGCTACGCTGGAACGTCCCTCAATGTTCTGGCTCAGAACTTCCCAGCTGAAAACCAGCAACAAATATGGCTGCTTCAGCTTCTGACCTTCCAAAACTGTCCGCTGACCTACCCCCAGCATCAATCTCCCCTTCACCCACCTTCTCCACAGCCACTCAAGAAGGCCAAGTCTCCACTCCCATCACTAAAACTAATGCCTAGGGCTGGCTGAAAACGTCAAAGACGACCTTTTCCCACCGGAAAATGGGGTTTTGTCAAAGTTGAAATTTTTGGTGGGAAAAGATCAATTTCGGCAGAATTTTCCATTGGGAAAAATGGAAGCAAAATGCTTCATTTCAGATCTGCATTAATCTCTGCATCTGCCAGAGTGCATCATGGGAGATGTAGTCTAATAGGGGAGCAAGGCCCACAAGAGAGACTGGGAGCAAAAAGGACTCAAAACTACAACTCCCAGGAGGTAACAGAGCAGGCTCAGAGGGGTGCAGAGATTAATGTGGACCTGAAACAAAACATTCTGATGTTTCTGAATTGAGATTTTTCCAGAACTTTCTATTCCATCAGAAGTTTCAATATTTGAAATCAGGATGAAAACAAATGTTGAACTGTTGGAATTTCCCGCAGGACAGAAATCCTGGTTTTCTATCATCTCTTCTAATTCCACTTTAAATTCACTTTAAATCTGGGGATAGCTGGTTACCGAGAGCAGAGTGGGATCAGAGATGAGGCTGCCATGTTTGCTGTCCACATATGGAGAAGCAGTTCTGGGTGTGATTATTTTACCAAAATAATCCCTCGCGTGGAGGCAGTCATACTGGCACAAAGGTGCCTTACACTGGTCTAGCTTATTCCCCTTCCTGGTACTGGAATAGCTGCACTGCTATAAAGCACTTTTATACCGGTATAACTGTGTCCACACTAGGGCATTGATACCCTGTTAGCTACACCAGTATTGTTAAAGCAGCACAACTTGTGTGTGTTGACAAGCCCTTGGTTGACCTAAAAGACTTTTCTTCCTCTAAAGGGATGTAAATGGTGTGGATGGGAGGGAAAGAATTACGTAATTACACATTTCCCCACAAAACCCTGCCTGCCTTTTCTATTACCGATGTAACAGCAACTCCATCTAGCAGCTCCCGAGTCTTGCACTTCATTTAGACCAGAATAAAGTTTTTTATTTCTAAACAGGGAGCACCATTAAGTTACCATTTAAATACAGAAATAGCTCTCTGATCTAATACAAAGATGTAAACCACTTGTCAATCAAGGCTCTCAGAGCCCTGCCTAGGGAGGAAGTGGTTAGACCACTAGGCTAGGACTCAGGGGACCTGGGATCTATTCCCAGCTCCATCACTGACCTTGGGCAAGTCACGCCAACTCCCTGTGCCTCAGTTTCCCGTCTGTAAGAAGGGGATGATAATACTTTCCTTAGGGGAGCATTATGTGTATTAATTAGCAATTGTCAGTAGATTGCTTTAAGTAGTCAAGTGCCAAGTATTAATGAACATTCAGCCTCTGCACTATTATGCCTGTTTTACGGGGAGTGACAGCAAGGGAGAACTTTAGCATCGGTCAGAGACACTTACTAACGTGTGGTTTTTGGACAAGTCCAAGTAGGTAATTTTGGGTGTGATTTTTTTTTTAAACCAATATAATTATACTAGTACAACCCCTAGTGTGGACACTGTTACACCCCATACAGGCATGCAGCTAACCACCAGAAGCACATTTATACCAGTATAACAGCGTCCGCACTAGAGGGGTTGTACAGGAACAGCCATATCAGAATAGTTACAGCAGTGCAACTTGTGTGTGTAGATGCGGTCTAACTGTCTCCTCCTTCAGCGGGGCTAGCACAGGAATGGATTGCTCAACACCTCTCCAAGTCACGCTATCTCGGCTTGCTGGGCTTAATTTCCAGGAGGCTTTACTGAGCTGCAGTTGTGAGCAAAGGCCAGGTAGCGAAAGGAGACTGAGGGCCCATGTGACAAGGCCCTGATCCCGGAATGACCTCAGTGTGGGCAGAGTCCCAGTGGGCTTGGGGAAAGTGCAGTGCCATGTGCACGTGCCACGAGCAGGATCGGGGCCTAAGCCCCCTATTACTAGCAGAGGAAGCTACAGCAGGAAGAGGTTTCGAGTTTATTCCTCGCGGACCCTCCTCCCATTGCAGTGTATTGTGTTACCGGCAGCCTGCGCATCGCACGCTGCAGACAGATCCTGCAGCAACCGTTTTCCATCACAAAAGCTTTGTTACGATCAACAACCTCTGAAACAAAAATATCCCCAAGCCAAGCCCAGCCTCTTGAATCTTTAACGAGCTGGAGGATAGCTTGAAATGTATGTGTGTATCAGACTTGCTTCAAGGACAGAGGGATACTGGGGCCTCTGCCAAAGTCACTAGATTTCATGAGTCACGGTACTTTCAAGGGAGCAATAACATTAGACCAAACGTGGGTAGATTAGATGGAAACTTCAGGATGCTGTAAAATTAATGAGCTTTGCACAAGCCGTTTGCTTTGGTTACCGATGGCACAAGGGGGAGGAATTAGAGAGAGAGAACAGTGATGCGGATAAGACATGGGCCACATGTGTATGTTACATCCCCATTCCTGATTCTCCGGTTGTTCTGTCTGGTTAGGTTGTCAGCTCTGGAGGGCAGGGTCACGCCGCTGCCCTGGTCCGTGACACACCGAGGACGCTTGTGAGGCTACAAAACAATGATGAGCCACATGGGTTTGCATTTCCCTGCCTGCCCCTGGGTTTTGACAGACTCCTGCCCGGTTCCCCCTCCACACAGATTCTCTTCTGGAAGAGGCAACTCCAGGGAAGCTGGGGGGAGCCGGAGTGGAGCCAGGCGGGGATTCAGTCACAGGAATGACAGACTCATAGACACATGGGGCTAGAAGAGCCCACCTCGTCCAGCCCCCTGCGCTGAGGCAGGACTCAGTAAACCGAGACCCTCCCTGACAGGGGTCTGCGTAAAGCAGTCAGTCTTCAAATGGAAAGTGGGTCTGTTACAGAAGCACTGCACAACTGTGGGAAAGGAGGGACTGCTCCGATGCTTCCAGTCCCAAGGGGGCCATGCTTTGCACAGGGCCGCACCATGCCCGGGTCACAGACACTTCGTAACAAGCTGCCACAATGCGTAGGCTCTACAGCCCGGATTCCCAGAGGGATTCAGGTGCCGAACGACACTGACATCAATGGGAGCTAACCGAGGGTCTGGGCCCGGTGCCCTGGAACAGGCTGCAGCAGTGTCTGGGCTCTGCCGGCCGGCTCCAGCACCCACCGAACTCGGCAGAAAGCCTCCCAGTGGGGCGTCAAACCTTGGGCCTGAGTCTCCCCTCACTCCCCCTGGTGTAAAGTACAAGTAACTACACTGAGGCCAAGGAGTTACACTGGTGCAAATGAGAGGCCTCAGCTGCCTGATCAATGGCTGCACGCGCACAAGAGCCCTGCTGGGCGGCTGATAGTCTGGCTTTGGACCCAGATCATAACAGGTGCCCGGTCCCAGGCAAAAGCCCTGGAGCAGGACATTTAAACAGGAGCGATACATTTCCACTGGCCTAGTACGGATCGGCGTAAGGGACAGAAAGCTTTTGAAGGGGATTGTCACAGGGCATGCCGGCCCTTTAAGAGTCCTGGGCTCAGCCTCACCTGTGCCAGGTGTAGCTAGGGTTACCAATTCTGATTGGACGTATTCCTCGAGGTTTCATCACATGACAGCATCTTTAATTAAAAGTTAATCTTTAATTCCTGGAGACTCCAGGACAATCCTGGAGGCTTGGCAACCCTAGAAACTCCCCAGGTGAAGGGAGTGAGTCCAAGGTCATGTGATGGGAGCATGTGACTCAAAGCCAGGCCTGCTGGGGGACATACAAGCAGCCTGGATTCAGAGAGTGACTTTTGTGAGCCCCCAGGCAGCAGGCCTGGGAGAAAGCGACACCCTAAAGAGGCCGGGTTTTTAGGCCAGGGTGACAAAAAACATGAGTTCTTAAGAGAAGCTTTTATTACAGAAATCGCATCATGCAAAACGTGCTGTAATAGGCCTTGATCTTCCGAGCTGCATTCGCGTGAATAACGTTTTGTTGCGGGTGACTGCACGGGTATTCATTGAAATGTTTCTGTTTCCAATTTTTTGGTTATTTTTTTCATCAGAATAACGACCTTTGACCAACTTCCCCTCCGCCCCCAAAAGTACCAATATTTTAATGAGAAGTTTTTCACTTTTCTGACAAGTTATAGAGCTGGTTGAAAATTGAAAAGATTTGACCAACTTTTCATTCACATTTCACTGGTTTTGACCAGCTCCACGTGGGACTATACGAGTGTGGTTGTAGTTAAGCACTTCTAAACATTTCACTGTCGTGTGCAAAGTGCTCAATGCCTTGCAAGATCAAGCCCCGAACCATTATCCAGCTGCATCGCTGACCTGGATTGGTGTTTTGCCACTGTCTTCAGTCAGACCTTCATCAGACCCTGTGGGTCCCAACTGATGCTAAGAGAAAATGGGGAAGGGAGCTGGCTGGAAAATGGGCTTTCTTCTGGGGAAATGTTGACAAAAATGAAAAACACACATCGTTTTCTGTAGAAAATTCAACAAAAAGTGACTTTTCAGTGACAAACAAAGCTTTTCTTTTTTTTTTAAACCAAAACCTGAAATATTTCTACTAGGAAATGCTGCGGTGGTGCCTCATGAGAGTTGTAGGAAAAGCCTCTCATGTTCCCATTCTTCTCTCCAGGCTCAGCTCCCTGGTCAGACTACATTTCCAACCATGCACCGTGATCTCCCCTCCTGGTGATAGCAGGCAGTTGCATCATGGGAATCCTTAGCTATCATGCATTATGGGAAATGTGTCTGGGTGGGGAGCACAACCCATTTAGGAGAATGGGGACATGAGAAAACCAAACCACAACTCCCAGGAGGAAATACTTTCATTTACAGGAGTTTGGCTTTTTGATGGAAAAAAATCAAAATTTTCCATAGAAAGCAGACACGGCTTAAAAAAATTAGTTTTGTCAAAATCAATTTACTTTCTAAACAAATTTTGGCAAAAAAGTTTTGCTCAACTCTAACCAGGACTTGCCAGAGAAATTTACCTGGTAAATGGCTTCATCACAGACATTCTGCATACCCAGGTTCACCATTGTATTCTGCAGGGTGCGGCCCATGTAGAATTCCAGAGACAGGTAATAAATACGCTGGTGGAATACATCAAAAGGACAGAAGGAAGAAAATTAATTTTACTTCTCAGGCTGAGACTTTGCAACACAAAGGGGGCTGAATACGGAGGTGAAATGTACATATTCTATGAAGAAAAACTAACGCTAATGCACAATTAAGACTGCAAAAACACAATCAGGTCCATTGACAGACATACCGCCTCTTGCTCCAGGACGTGCTAACAGCAAGGACAATTAGCACTGGAACAAGTTACAAAGGGCTGTGGTGGAGTCTCCAACTCTGGCAAGTTTTAACTCCGGATGGGATGTTTTTCAAAAAGCTCTGCTCTAGAAATTGCTCTGGGGACGTTCTCTGGCCTGGGCGATACAGGAGGTCAGGCTAGATGGTCACAATAGTCCCTTCTGGCCTGGGAATCTATGAATCTTTGTTTCTGAATCTGTGCTCTCTCTCTCAATAGCTCTTCTGACTTTGAGCCAAGCACTGAGCCTGTCTCAAAAGGACGTCTGAGCAATATGCAGAGAAGGACACACTCCACCAGACCCCGGGAACGGGAACCGTCCCCCCGTTCTTGCCCCTCAGATCTGAAGAGGAGGGGGTGTATTTCACACTGAGGGACTGCGTCCTCCCCTATACCCAGCAGCAGCAGGGTCGGATCCTTTGCCAGAAAACACCCCCCCCCTTGTTAGCAGATGTTGATCCCGCTGGGGAATGTTAAGTGGGTTCTGCTGACTCTGACTCATTATCCTACTCAGATAGGAGAGAGGTGGGAGGGACACGACCTCATCTCACCCTAGGAGCTGCCAAGCCTGGGAAGAATATTTGCCATGAATTTTGGTGATTCATAGATTCATAGAGTCTAGGACTGGAAGGGACCTCGAGAGGTCATCGAGTCCAGTCCCCTGCCCGCATGGCAGGACCAAATACTGTCTAGACCATCCCTGATAGACATTTATCTAACCTACTCTTAAATATCTCCAGAGATGGAGATTCCACAACCTCCCTAGGCAATTTATTAACCCTGACAGTTAGGAACTTTTTCCTAATGTCCAACCTAGACCTCCCTTGCTGCAGTTTAAACCCATTGCTTCTTGTTCTATCCTTAGAGGCTAAGGTGAACAAGTTTTCTCCCTCCTCCTTATGACACCCTTTTAAATACCTGAAAACTGCTATCATGTCCCCTCTCAGTCTTCTCTTTTCCAAACTAAACAAACCCAATTATTTCAGCCTTCCTTCATAGGTCATGTTCTCAAGACCTTTAATCATTCTTGTTGATCTTTGTTTTCATCTCCTTGTTAATAAAGCCAGTCCCTGGTAAGCCATCCAGTGTGGGCTGTTTTAGAGCAGGCTGGAAAAGCTATAAAAATATCGTTCACTGTATTAGTTATTGGTGTGAGAGCACCAGTGACTCCCACACTGCATACGTGCCCCGTGCGAGCACCAAGCTCATGTTCCGGTGTGCCTTGCTTTGCCTTTCGAAGAACAGATTCTGAAATGCATCCTACCAGCAATGTCCCCCATGTGTTCCTCCCCAAAAGGAGGCATGCAGCCATCAAGCAGTCCCTCCTAACGCAATACACTTCATTGCGAAGAAGGTTCACGTCAGGTCTCTGTGCTCAGATGCAATTCTCAGCTCGCCTCGATTCAGGACAGCACTAGAGCTGGGGAGGGAATTGTTTTCCCTTTTCTGCATTGGGACAAAACAAGACCCTTGGAAGTTTTTTTGTTTGTTTGTTTTTTGGGTTTTTGTTTGTTGTTTTTTTTGGAGAAAGAAAGCGAGCATGCCCCTGTGATGTGGGAGGCCCAGATTCAAGTCCGTGGTCTGAATCAGGCAAGCCCAGACCTGGACCTGGGTTCCAGTCCAAGTGTGCTAACCATTAGGCTATTAGCTATTCTAGGGTGGGTCTCTCTCTTTCTCTCTCCGGTTTTCACCAGGAATTCCATCCTAGGTCTGAGAAATCTTTCCCCAAAATTAGATTGAAACTGGTACATTCCCGCAAAAAGTTTCGCTTTCATTGGATTGACATTATCTCACCAAAAAAAGTTCCATCCAAAAACCTCCTGCCTGGCTCTAGTGAACACACGCTCAACCCCCTTGAAATCAGGTAAGGTGAAGCCCCTCCCGCGATCGGGAGGCTTTCCTGAATTGTAGCCCTGCCGCCTGTTGCGTAACATGGACCACGTTTTGTTTGTCAGAGAGATTCTTGTGAGGAACTTGTCACCCGAGTGTCCCTGTGCCTATCTCTGCCCAGAGCCTGATTTCGCTACAGCAAAATGCTGCCATTTTCTGATAAGATTGTTTCCCCAATTAACTTAGAACACAAGTGATCTGGGAGGCCTAGCTGTGTATTTATAAAACCGCTCTTCACAGTGAAGTGCTGCTTTTTCGCAGCTGAAATGCCACGCACAGGGCCTGTCACATTCAGTGAAGATTCCTAATGGTATTCATCAACATGGGCCTGATCCAAAGTCAATGGGAGTCTTCATCGGGCTTTTGATCAGGCCTATGCCAGGAGCGATCTCCTAGTATGATGATCACCCCTGTTGAGACGTGTAGAAATAAATCAGTGCCACGCCCGTCATCCACTATGAGAGTCTGGGAATAAAAGGAAAGTGCAGTGCCTGGGTTACGCTCAATAAATATGGACTCAACTTTCCACAACCATTTTCATTAACACGCATCCCTCTGGGGTCTCTTGGGGAGGGCTGGAATTTTAAATGAATCACATGGTCCAGGAGACTTGGCTTGCTGAGGCAGATTAGGGCTGAGAAAATGTCATGGCTGGAAATCAGGGAGTGTCAAAAATTATTGGCAGCGGTTTTGGTTATAGAGGGCCATGGGGTGAATTTCATCCTAAAAAGATCTACCCCACTGTTCCGTTTCAGCAATTCATTTCACACAGCGAATGGGTAACTTGAATTATTGATCCGGTTGGTACATCAAACCACCCTTAATTTTGAGACTGTGGCATTATTTTAAGTATCACTTGTCTTTCTACACCATCATTGCAACAATACAAGAGCCATGGGGATTTACGGGTTAAACAGCCATACGTGTCTGATCAGCACGGTGCAACAATATTAACTAATATTTGATAGGGACATAAACATGAGAACAAAAAGTTATGTGGGAAGATGTTCCCCTCAGCTCCCATGAGTCCGTCTGCAGCAAATGGCTTTATCCGAGCCCCATTTTCTCACTGGATAAATATTTGACCAGCATCTGTTCTATGGATCATTTCTTCTTCGGAAAACACTAAGTTAAGGAAGTAGGATAAGCAATAACATTGGTTAGTCCCCTCCCACTCTGACTTCAATACGTTTCATTCCTTTAAAATAAGCAACTGGTACACAGCCATGGGTTGCTATTATATTCTTTCCAGCATGTATAACATGCCTAAGCAGGAGCACTTGTTTGGGAGACCATCCTAGTTTTAAAAGAGCCAGATTTTGCAGTGTGATGCATGCTAAATAAAGCCCATTTGTAGGATTCATATCAGGATGAGAGTGAATCAAACTATAAGAAGAAGTGGGCGACATAGAACCAAACCACTCCTTTTACAGCACTAGGAAACTGTCCTGCAAGAAAACCAGGATGTATGAATCAAGGTTCACATTCTCAGCGCGTGTACAGCAGCTGAGAATCTGGCCTATGTTAAACCGACACCGTTCATGGCAAATTTGACCTAAATTTGAGATTCCGTAAAAGCTTACAACTTTAGACGTGTTTCCATTCATTTATGTTCATTACAATAGAAACAATTTTCTTTTAAACAGATACCTATTTCTCTGCAGTTTTGGCACTCAAACATTACAGCACTCTGCTAGTATGAGAACCTGACCGTGAAATCAATTAGGAACTGTCTAGCAGCAGAAGTGAAACCGATTCGCCCATTTCCATTGGCCAAGATGAGGGGAATAAAAAGTGTCAAAAGGCACAGAGAAGAGTCTTTAATGTTCTCCATTTTAATAGTCTTCTGCAGGTTCCCATATCACTTCATGCCTTCATTTGACTAAGCTGAGAGGAAATACGACCATGCAATGTTTTAAATCTTTCTTCAGACACTTTTCCCTGTATGCCTCCTAGTGAGCCTCTGTCCAGCCTAGTTTTCGAGTGTGCCAAGTGATGCGGTCAATCGCCTGCAAAACACTCTCTCCTTCCTTGTAGCACCCTGGATTAAGAGGAAGGATGGTGCATATTTGCTCTTCTGAATGAGGGACAGAAATCATGGAATGCATCCTTCATCTAAATCTCTATTGGGCGTATATTATGCATGAAACAAACACAGGGTACTGCAACGGTACCTGGTCCAATGCCCCCTGCAGTCTATAACCATGTCTGTATGAGAGACTTTTGTGGGCAGAGCAAAAGCAGTGGCTAAAGTACGATTTTTTGGGAGGAGAGGAGGGTGTCACATTTCTATACCAGCAAAATCTCTAACGTAGCCACAGTAATAGCCGCATAACGGTGCTCTTGCCAATACGTCTTATTTCACTTGCCGAACTGGTATAGACCACAACAGCAAAGGAACTTTTCTGACAGCATAAACTGTGTTTACAGTAGGAGGCTTTGCTGGTATAGTTATTCTGGCAAACTTTTCTAAGGCCTACCTGGCCTATGGAAGCCTTTCAGTGCTCACTGAGATCAACAGAAGCCCTGGCCTTTAATCCAGGCTGATTATTTGAGTGGACAAGTGTTACATTTCCTGATTTTTGTAATACAGCTGTTCTGCTGTGACATGCAGGCGAGTGGTTCATTTCACAGCTGCATTCTTGTACCGCTTTGTCTCTTTCCTGTTCCCCAAAAGAACTAAACAAGCATCGTTTGCCCCTACAAGGATGAAGGAGACAACCCGCTGAACTGGGTGAAATTCTCTGGCCTCGTGTTATAAGGATCAGACTAGATTTATGAATCTAGGTCAGCCCCACAACTTGGCACATTTAAAGCTACATTGGACAAAGCTCTAGAAGCCACACACGGAACAACCCTGCTCTGACAAAGGGATGAACTAGAACAGCATTTCTCAAACTGGGGTCCCCGAGGGTATTCCGGGGGGTCTGCAGGCCCCACTGATCAACTCCTCCCCATACCTCTATCTCCTGGAGGCTACTGAAGCCAAACCGGGAGATTTTAGGCACTAAAAGTCCGGCGGCACAGCAGGGCTAAGGCAGGCTCCCTACCTGCCCTGACTCTGCGCCACTCCTGGAAGTGGCCGGCACATCCTTACAGCCAACCCCCTGCCCCAGCCCAGAGCCTGCACCCGAATTCCCTCCCAGACCCCACACCTCCTCCCGCATGCCACACACCCCGCACCCAAACTCCCTCCCGCACCCCACACCCCCTCCCGCACCCCACACCCGCTCCTGCACCCAAACTCCCTCCCAGACCCCGCATCCCCTCCCACACCCAAACTCCTTCCCAGAGCCAGACCCCACACCCCCTCCCATACCCAGACTCCCTCCCAGATCCCGCAGCCCACACCCCTCCCTCACCCAAACTCCCTCCCTGACCCTGCACCTCACACACCCCCACACCCAAATTCCCTCCCAGAGCCAGATCCCACACCCCAACCCCCCGCCCCAGCCTGGTGAAAGCGAGTGAGGGTGGGGGACAGCGAGTGACGGAGGGAGGAGGGATGGAGTGAGTGGGGGGTGGGAAGAGGTGAGGAAGGGGTGGGGCCTTGGGGGAAGGAGCAGAGTGGGGATGAGGCCTGGGGCTGAGCAGGGGAGTTTGGGGGTCCCCAAAATTTTTAAAATCAAAATGGGGGTCCTCAGGTTGCTAAAGTTTGAGAACCGCTGGCCTAGATGACCTGACAGCTCTTTTGATATACAATTCTACAACAACACAGGCCTTAGATGTACTTGTTCTGCATCCTTCGCAATTGCGGTCATCTCCCTTTCCAAACAGATTACTGTGTTATTGCAGTAACCAGCCCCAAACCGGCCAGCAAAATGCAGCACTGTGGCCACCATCTGTCATTCTTAAATCAGGGATTCCTGACCCTCTAGGAAGTTGCAGTGCTGGGTTTGCCCTCCCTGGGCTTCAGAAACCTCTGCCAGGAGAATAAAATATGCAAATCTGAATTGCTGCTCACACAAAAGTCAAGCTGGACTGAATGCGGCGTGCCAAGGTCTCTGAAGGCAGGACAGGGCACCCCGTATCCGGGCACTGGGTCTCGGAGTGGGGACGGCGCTGCAGGGCTGGACACCTGCCTGTCCAGCTCCTCACCGTGGCGGGTCACTCCCGGCCCGGCCAGGCTGCTAGGAGCAGAGCTGCAGGGGCACCCCGCTTATGGGGGCTCAGGCGGGAGGAGCAGATGTCCTGATTTGATAGGGACAGTTCGGATAGTCGGGGCCTGCCTCCCCCGTCCCCCCGGCTCTCTGGGCACCCCCGCCGGGACACCCCCTGCAAAGCCCGTGTCCCCCCCCGCAATGCGCCCCCAAGCTCTGCGCGCCCGGCCCCGGCCCTACCTTGGGGTCCCGCTCGTAGTAGTACTGCTGGGTGCGGATCCAGCGCCCCACCAGGTGGTCCCGCACCGCGTGCGCCAGCGCGAAGAAGTAGTCGCGGGGGGTGGCCACGTTGCGGTCCTTGACCAGCGTGAAGTGCAGGTGCCGGTTGAAGCTTTTCCGCACCTCGGCCACGTCGCCCAGCCCCGCAATGCCCCGCACGCTGATCTGCTTCCGCTTCTCGCTGTCGCTGCGGGGCGCCGCCATGGCCGGGATGCGGGGCTCGCTCGGGCTGGGCGCTGCGGGCTCGGGGCTCGAGAGTGCGGGGCCGGGGCTCGCTGGGGGCCGGGCGCTGCGGGCTCGGGGCTCGCTCGGGGCCGGAGCTCGCTGGGCGCTGCGGGG